AGACTCAAGAGTAACATAACAATGGCGGCACTCGTCGTTGACGCGGACTACCTTAAGGAGATCGATAAAGCTCGCCGTGATCTCCGTGCTCTCATCGCTAAGAAGAATTGCGCTCCGATCATGCTCCGATTGGCGTAAGTTTCCGTTTCTCTCGTTTTTTTATTGTTGCGATTCCTTCGTGTTGAGTGCGACGAGGTTCGGTTTTGTTCACTGCATGTGCGATCTAATGTTGTGTTTCTCTGTTTTGTGAAGATGGCATGATGCTGGAACTTATGATGCAGAATCGAAGACCGGTGGACCTAATGGCTCGATTAGGAACGAACAGGAGTACAGTCATGGTGCTAATAATGGTTTGAAAATCGCGCTTGATCTCTGTGGTGCGTTTTTTCCTTTTCCCTCTTCTCTACGGATTAGGGGTTCGAGTTGAGATTTAAGCGATTAGTTGGATACTTCGTTTTAGGGATTCCGTTTCTAGCTTGTTTATGCAGTCGTTGTTTACTCTCAACTGTTTATAGGTGACGAGATGTTTCAATAGATATGGTTTTTGAAAAGTATACATAACCGTTTTTGTAGACCTTAGAGGTCCTGGAGATTTATGAGAAGTTCACATGTTAAACTTGGTGGTTTTAGATAACCTTTACATGGTGTATCATTTTGTCTTATGATCAACGAACTAATGTCACCAAAATTTTACTTGGTTGTTTCGAAGTTGATGTTGATTCTTTGATGTTTCAGAGGAGGTGAAAACTAAACATCCCAAAATCACTTATGCAGACCTATACCAGGTAACTAAAACGATTTTGGCATGAAAAACTAGTCTATGATTACATAAAATCGATTTAAGACTTTAAACAAAGATCAGTACCTTTTGATCATTTTTGTTTGCAGTATAATTTCCCACAGCTTTGTTTGACCTTGTTTTTTTTTGTCCTCTTTCTTTAGACTTCTCTGAGACTTTTTATAAGTTGTGTCTTATAAACTCATCGGAAGTGTTAGTTTGTTAGATATATTCGGTTGAGCTGTGCAATTGCGGTCATCAGGGTATAGAGACAGGGGAATTGACAATTGTGCTTCAGGGTTAAAATATTTGGCAGTGACCCAGATGAATGTTAAGCGTCTCTTTTGTGTTCTCTGGCTTTCACTATTGTAACGTCAAGGCTTGGTAGCTCTGAATGCCCAAAAAAACAACCCCGTTGACGCTGCTTGTAGCCTAGTATCTTACAGCAAACAATTTTTGGCTTTAAATCATTTACAGTCGAAATTGATTCTTTCATTTTTTCAGCTTGCTGGTGTGGTAGCGGTTGAAGTTACTGGTGGTCCTGACATCAGTTTTGTTCCTGGCAGAAAAGTACTATCCTCTTTGCCTTTAAGATGCTATAACTGCTTACTGCCAAAAGCAATTAACTAATTAGCTGTATTTTGCCTCTTATAGGATTCAAATGCCTGCACCGATGAAGGAAGACTTCCTGATGCTAATCAAGGTATGTAGGATGAACGTTTTTTTTTCATTAGTCACAAACTCACAAACTCGTAAGTATTTTACGGAAAATTAAGTACGTGAACATTGTATTTGAGTAGCAAATAAATAATGGAATATTTGGAGTGTCCATGGTGTTGCCCAAAATGTACATTATATAATCTTCGGTTTTTGAATGTATTATTTTCCTCAATGTGGGGTTGAAGTTAAGTCTGCTAATTTGTATTTAGGTTTCAAACATCTCAAAGATGTCTTCTACCGGATGGGACTGTCTGATAAAGATATTGTGGCACTCTCAGGAGCTCATACTCTGGTAAATTCTTGTTGCGCAATTCACAATTGTCCTTTGGTTTTAAATAAATGAGTTGTGCATGGGTTTTAATAATTATCCAATGTTTAGGGAAGGGCTCATCCAGAAAGATCAGGTTTTGATGGACCATGGACTCAAGATCCTCTTAAGTTTGATAACTCATACTTTGTGTAAGATCCTCTTAAGTCGTGCACAATTTTGTCGGGCACGACAAATATTTGTTCTGATTACTGGATTGTTTACCAGGGAATT